GCAACTTGATTTGCCAACCAGTTTTTGGTAGACACAGGATTCTGATTGCAGAAATAAAAATAAGGCTCTTGAAATTAAACAGGTCTGATATAATTAATAGTTTAAAAGCTATTTTTTTATATTATATTATTATTATATTTGTTCTCTTAATAACCCCTACCCTAAGTTGGTCTGTCATATTAAATCCTTTTTTATATATAGTTTGTTGTTGTAACATAAAAAAAATAAAAAAGTCTAAAAGCTTAGTACTTTCCAAAGCACTATAAGTTTTTGAATAGAGTTCCAAAGTAAAAACACAAACCAGGCCAGAATCCATTCCTTAGAGTGCACTCTGATAAATTATTCAGAAATGGAAGGAGGATCCAGGACAAGCTGCCCTTCAAAGTGTAGTGACCTTTCAACAAGAACAGTTATGAAGGAAGCTAAAGGCAAGTTACTCCAGCACTTTGCCAGTCACATCAGAACAAAAGAAACCATTCTGAAAGGTTCAGGCTGCTGAGAAGTTACCTTTTTTATTGGACCTCCCAATGGTGGTTGGACTCCTTCCATATGGCTCTTTGCATTGCACTGTGTGTAATGAATGTCCTTATAAACAAATGTGTATTCAACATTTTTAAAAATCTCTCATTAGCTTAGAAAGACATTTAGTTGTCTGCAATCTGCAGCTTAGCCACAAGATGTCCCTAAATCCCAAATGCCTCTTCTTTTTTCAACAAAGCTGTAAATATAAAATTTTTCTCCTTTCATCTTCATTATCTTCTCTGCTTTTGGCCTTGCCTAATATTACATGTTTAATATGAGTGTAACATCTAAAACCAATGGCTCACTTAGAGAAGAGGCCATGGGTGAATGAAGAGCCACTGTGTAGAAATTCACTTGGCAGCTGTGACATAAAAAGGCCATGACGCATCATTTCATGCTTTAAAATGAAATTAAAAGTACATAAATAAGTTGTCACAATCAGCATTGCTGCTCATCTGACAGATCATAAAATACAGCAGTAGGTTTTCAATGCGGGGCTGCATGGTGGAGCAGGGGGTTGTTCTGTTGCCTTGCAGCAAGAAGGATCTGGGTTAGATTCCTTGCCTGCGGTCATTCTGCATGAAGTTGAATGTTCTCCCTATCCTGCAAATAGGCAACGGCCCCACAGTGACCTGACAAGGACTAAGTGGGTGAAGATGGTTGGAAGGTTTTCAATGCAGCTGTGCCACATGTCGGGTCTATTTGATGGTGTTTTATTTTGTCAAACGGCTGCCTGCAGCTGCTTCTCCTAAAATTGGTGCATCTTCCTGCCAATCTAAACACCTTTGATTTTGTGCTAAAGAAGGAAAGCTATACAGTTGCCCAGAATCCTTTGCCAACAAGTTTAATCCACAAAAATACATTGTTTTGTGACATATTATATATATATATATATATATATATATATATATATATATATATATATATATATATATATATATATATATATATATATAAACATTACCTCCATACAACGAAACAATACCAACACAAATAAATCCTCACTAGTGCAATATTGTTCTTTTTCCCTCAGTGTTATAATCCTTCTGTCAGAAAAAAATGGCCCAAAATTAGCCCCCTCCAGGAAGCATAACTTCACAACTTGTCTCTCTGTACGTGTGTTGCTGTAGAAGAACAGAGGAGTGTGTTTGTGACAAACCGTTGGGCTGGTGAATGTGTATTACGTCAAAAAGTCACACTCATCAGCGGCCTTCTGTACAATGTGACTGTTCAGTCAAAAGTTTGGGGTGTTAGGATGACACTCACACATTGCTTTGGTGCTGCTGGGCACGGAAGCTGCCTCTGTTTAACAATGCACAGCGCAGACTTACAGTACATCTTAATAAGCAGACTGTGAGGGAATTATTAATCTCAGCACTGGTGAAAATACTGATGCTCTTGTCCCCTCAGTTTCAAAGACGATTCTGATAGAAACAGAGAAAAAGGTTGAAAATTGCTTTCCTTTCAATCCATTAACCTCTCTACTCTTAGACTCTTTTAGGAGCTTCATTAAGTTTAGAATAATGGAAGCTGTAATAATGTAAACTATCCCTCCATCCATCCATCTATCACTCCCTCCCTTCCTCCCTCAATTCATCTATCTCTTCCTCCCTCTCTCAATCCATCCATGCATTATTCTGTCCATCCATACCTCCATCCATCTCTCCATTCATCCATCTGTCCATCCATAACTCCATCCATCTCTCCATCCATCTATTCATCCATCCATCCATCCATCCATCCATCCCTCCATCCATGCATTCCATCAGTTGGACCAGCATTTTCTCTTTAGACTGTGATGTCTTCAGAGGCAGATTTTAGTCAGAACTTTTAGGTTTTCCAGAATTTTACTCCTGATCCTACTGTATTTCTTGCTGCCACAGTAAATCTTGTTTAAACTGATTTCTACTTCCTCAGTCTCTTTACACTAGTAACAAAGAGCCTCAGGCCAGGCTAGACGCTCAAGGTTACTCTCCTCCAAGTAGTCTGCAAAATAGAAAGCAGTAGCCTTCATCATGGAGAAATAAAGCACATCTAGATCTGCTGGGATAGAGGCTGACTCACTGCCTTAGTCTTTTCAAATCAGTGCTGTTCCTTGGTCACAGTTTAAGCTCTGCCTTCTAATCTTTAGGAATTGGTATTATTGCCTTAAACTCTAAGAGAGGAGCTGTCTACTAGTTTAGAGAGGAATCATTTTGATTTGTGGATGTCAGTCCCTTTTTACAGTTTCTTACCTGCCATCATCTGCTGTTGTTTCAGTCGGTGAACCGCAGAGATCTGGATACGTGACCTGCAGACTTAACAAAGGCTTTGTGTGTTGTTGGGTTTCCATGTCTGAACATGTTTGATCTCTCTTTGTTGGCGTATAACAACCTGAAGCTAAACAATCTTTTTCACATGTAACGCCTGTGATGTTGCTCCGGTTCCATTTGAACGATCTGATTCTAATATCTGAATGCTTCCAAGCTTTTAAAGATAAGATGTAAACACAAACTGAGTCTCGTGCTCAATCGAGGATGGCAGAACAGTCCTGCTGCCTGGAAAATGAGCTGCATGTCATTTTCATACTTTGGTGGTGGCGGCGATAACTATCTCTGTTAATTATTCATGGACCACTAATGTGCATATCTGTTCTCCTCTCAGACAGAAAAAAGGAGGGGAAAAGCAAACTGATCAGCCACAGATAAATTAAGCTGCCAAAGTAATAAAATTATATTCCTGGGTGATGTCTAGCTTATTCTTTTGTAAGAACTAGATGAAAACCAGGGGAACATTACTCTTTAAGGGAGTCATCTGTAAATCAGTACTAGAAAGCCATAAATATGGCAGATATAAAGATCCAGATGAAATCATGCCTTTTTTTGCTCACATGTGTTTTGTGATTCTGATCTCAGTGGTGCAGGGTGAAGCATTTTGAGGTAACATTTTATGCATATAGAACTTGGAGCTAAGAAGGTGGCTTTCTTTGAGGCTTAAGCGATCGCTATGGTAACTCATGGTGAACACCTAATCTGCTCCAGCAAAGAGGCTAAAAACAGCCACCCCTCAACTGATTCTTTTCCTGATGATATCCTTTTATCCGTTCTCACTGCATGTATAATGCCTGCAGGTTAATTATGGCACCAACTGCAGCCGAGTCATAAGCTATAATAGAATCAGCATGTCTCATGCTATCACAGAATCGCAAACTTTGCATATTCACTAAGGAATGCAGAAACTGCAAACCCTGAAACCAAGGGGTTTTATCATCTTATCCTCTTTAACATGCAAGTGTTTTTTTTGCCACAGTGTTCAGCATCTTAAGTTTGTTGTTTACTTGAAAAGAAAAAGTCAGTCTGGTAAACACATCTGGAATGTCTGTGGTAGAACACATGTGGTAGAACAAGTGTTCTTATTGGTAAGATGTTATATCAAAGACACATTGACAACCAAAAAAAAAGAACAATAAGTAAGGAAACATAGTGCAGAAGAATGACTACTAAATGACCACCATTTTTACATTTTTGTCCTATAAAACCATCAATCATGAATAGATTGCATAAACAGATTATATCTGAAGGCCTTATTTTATATTTCTTTGTCATAAATGGAAATCATAAAAGTGTGGCATGCTATTTGATAAAAGTAGCGGGAAAGATAGAAAAGTTCAGGTATATGTATCGCAGGCCCTACATCTGACTTTTATCGAAGAGCCAGTCTTGTAAACGTTGTTGCTCTTGTTCTCCCTTACATCCAAATCTTTGATAGAAAACTAACTTTGTCAACCTGAACAAATTACCCAATCACTGAAACATGGAAGCGGAAGCATTATACTGTAAGGGTGCTTTGGGACAGTGGAGCTGATTATAACAGATGAAAGATGGATGTATTTAATTACTAAAAGAAGAAAGACATGTATAATTATTTGTCTCCAGGGGTCTAAATGCAAATGCAAGCTGTGTAAAATCCTTTCATAGCACAAGTTTTCATTACTTTTTGTTTATTCATAATATATAATTATATGAAATACATTAACATTTGTGGTTCTTATGTGACAAGTAGTGAAGAATTCAAGGGGGACAAATACTTACATGGGAAAAATGCCAAATTAGGAAAAGATCGAAATAAACATGACTTTACTAAAATATATCCCACTGACTGAATAATATGGCTTCAGTCTTATCTTTTCAGCTTCACTCGCTCAACCATTATAGATACTAGCAAAAGATACAAACATAGACATCAGTGGGACAAATGAGAAAGCTGACTTTTTTTAGTAAGACACAATCTTTGGATCCATTAATTAAAACAAGTTTGCAGTTTTAAACTACAAAGTAGTAGGAGGCACCATAAGACCTGCAATGATAATTTCTGCCTGTATAACAAAATGAGAGCAGCTCTTTGATTGAGAAGAGTGTAAATGCTTTCAAATTTTTCAAGGTTTCTCACACAGAGTCTTTTGTTCTTGCCTGACTCGCTCCTGTGTTTTGTCTCAACAGGGATACCTGTGTCCACTAAAAGGTTGTGTGTGGAAGAGCATGTTGTGACAGCCATGTCTCTGGAGATGGAAAAGACCATCACCAAGCTGATGTATGACTTCCAGAGGAACTCCACCTCCGATGACGACTCCGGTTGTGCGCTAGAGGAGTACGCCTGGGTTCCCCCTGGCCTAAGTCCCGAGCAGGTACTAAGCTATCTAATATTCAAGCGAAAAGTTATTTCTTATTTCTGTCCCAAACACCCAAACTATATCAATAAACTGAGGCAGTATGAATAACTTATTCATCTGGACAATCTACGACCCTTTCTTTGAGGTAAAAAGACTATTCTAACAAATAAAAAAGCCCATTGGATCATTAATCTTTACAGTAATATTGAATAAATGTTCATAATATTAAGAGGGAATTTATTCCGGTCACACAAATCACTAAAAATAACATTAGAGAGGCTCATCAAACAAGGTTTTATTAGGGTTGAATAATAAGGGTCCAATATTAAGGGTACATAAAAAAAAATTCATTAAAAACTTACATAATGCCTTTTTAAATATCGTTATTGCAAACAACTAATACATTTTTATAGCCTTTATTTTTTGTCAGCGATTAACATTTTACATTGAGAGCTGATGAATACACAATATTTAAGATATGAATATTATATCAAACTGATAAAAAAGAATCTAAAACAAAAATGTTGGACAATAAAAAAAGCATGTTTTGTATTTGCTGATATATACAGTAGCAGCCATTCAAAATGGCCCTTCCCAGTATTACGCCAGCAGAATTGCAGCCCACTCTCCTGCAACTCCCAGCAATATCACCTCCATAAAGCCAACATAATTTTTACTCTGACTCCACCCTTTCTCTGAATTACAGGGTCTGACCAGGATATGACACTTTTCTTTAGATCCTGATGTCCACAAATCACGACCGAAAGAATATTTTACTACAAAGATTTGAATATAGGAAAATGTTAAGTAGATTAGTATTCTGATAAATAACTAGTTCAAATTGCTCTATAACAATGGCAAATGTGTAGTTTTGTTTAAATTAATAGCAGTCTGACATCTCCAAGAAGCTCAGTCACTGTTTTTGGTCTAAATTATATACAAGAAATGGTAGATGATTGGAACATAATCAAACCAGAGTACTTCCTGGGAAAAGGCAACAGAGGTAATAACACCTACAGCCCTGTGAGCGGGGAATGGATGCTAAGAAAAGTAGCAGTGTGTAGTTACAGTAAATCAGTGAGCTCATTCATATTGTGAAAAGGAAAGTGCAAATAGGTGACTTTAAGTTACGAAATAAGGCAGCAAACTTTGTACATGCTGTTTACATTTCATTCCTCTCCAAAAATCTTAGTAAAAAGGGTAATTCCAGACCAATCCACTAATTTTTATTTGAAAGACGTCAGATAGAACAGGGAAAATGTGTGAAGAAGGAGAGATAATATAAGGCAGCTGGGCTAAAATAATCTTTTCTTTCTTTTACAATTACAATCAAAACCAGAATGAGATAAAAGGAAATAGTAAAGTGCTATATTTGATCAAAGGTAAGTCTAAAATGATGAAGTCTTTGGCAATGATAATTTTTACATTGGTCAAGAAAGGCCCATTGGGAATACAAAAGAAATTATATAACTAACCAAGCTATAGCCAAGAAGCATGACAAAGTCCTAGTGTTGGAAACATCATGCATTGAAAATGTTTCAGTTTGTCACAAAACAGCATTTGCAAAAATAGAAACCACTGAACATTGTGATTGCTAATGAAAGTAAGGCCATATGCTATGATAATGTTTCTCAGTTTTCTGATTAGCCAAGAACACATCAACATTCTCCAGCTCTGCTGGCTGTGATCAATGCCTTACTTTGAATTGTTTGTACAACAGAAACAAACGATGTTGATGCAAATAGTGTTTATTTAATCAATGTGTATATATCAAATTTGCTTTTCCTACAGTCAAACTCATTTTGTTTCTTTATTTCAGCATATTCCAGCATGTTTAAATGCTGTGAAATTAAAGACACCAAAGTCAGTAATTGTTCTTCTGAATCTGGAAATTCCAACTTGTTTAGCTTGCAGACTCTTCATGTCTCTGTTAGGAACCATTTGCATCCTAAATGCCTTTAATTCCATGCCTGACCACACTTATTAAATAAGTGGAAATCGTCTCTACAGCTTTGCTTTTTTTTTTCTCTTTTTTTTTTGCATGTTTTAATAAACACATAGATTGCTTCGACAGTGTCAACCTTAAACGCCTTTGTCTTTCTTCTATAAGAGAAAGACACTAATACAACAGGCCACCTAGGGCTCTGTTAACAGATGACAGGAAGGCTGATAACAGTGATTTTCTTTAGTCAGCCATCTTGACAGGATGCTGAAAGAGGCTGCAGCCTCTGTCATCCAGCAGGAGGTGCAGGCAATTGAAGCTGCCTGTTTCTCTTTTAATGCACTTGAATTTAACGATTTTTAGGCCTGTCACTTCTGGTGTCACTCTGTACAATGCCATTTAACAGGAAATAATAATGTGCAATGGCCCATTGAGCTGTCAGGAAATCTATTTACACTGACTCTGTCATTAGTTTCAGCTGTGTTCAAATTGTCTTTATTGAAAGGTTTTGTTTCTAAAGTTTGGACTTCTAATATGGCTTAACTTTTTATGGAATAATAATTTAATTTATAAAGTACTGAGGTGTATGAGCAAGCTGAGTTAAGATATTTTAGGGTTCAAAAAGCAATCAGTCTCAAAATCCATCAAAAGTCAGTCTTACTGAAAATCTCCAAATTAATCTATTTTTAGACCATTTCTGGAAATTTGGGTTTAAGTATCTTTTAAAAAAAATCATGAGATGTTTTATAGATACATATAGACAATCAAGAGTACTACACTTCAACACAGGTCATAAAAAGAGAAGAAACAAGTAATCAGCTAAATGGTTTTCTATTGTTCCGTCCGTCTGTTTGTCCATCTGTCTGCTGAGCCACAGGGGGATGGTACCTCTCAATTTGTTAATGTCTTCACTGATTTTATATATGCTTTGTTTCTGAGCCAAACTGAGTTACCTGTTGATCACAGGTGCAATATGCTGCAGAGTTCTATTTAAAAGAGGACTTTGCATTACTGTGAATGATGTTTTGGAAAGCAGAGTTTATTTATATTGCGCATTGGAAAGCTAACCGCAATCTGAAAAAGCACTGAGCATAGAAAGAGTTTAGGACAAGAAGAGAAATTAGCTTTTCTCTTCATGCAAAATTAAATAATAAAGACTTATCACCTATAAAATGACTTTGAGGTCCAGACTGAAAAGCCCCTGAATTATCTCAACTGTTGCAACCAATCAAATGCCTTGTTTCAATGTTTTGACATCTTTATTCTAGACATCCTTGAAACTCTAACCAGTTTTGAATAATGAATTGATTTTATTTCTGTTGCTTATTGTTTTTTTCCATTTTTACAGACCATATCACTGTGTTAAAATAACAAGTGAGAAATGCATTTTATTTTCTGTTGCCAATATTCATCATTATGACTTTAAAATCAAGAAAGACAGTTCACAGTAGCTGGTATTGTAATAAATGATTATAATTTAATATGATATAAAAATGCATTTTTTAGTTTAAAACAGAAAAATGTGCACTAATCAGTGGGAAAAATTAACACCTTCATATTCATCAGTGTTGCAGCTGATAACATAATTTATCATGTTTTTGCTAACTATTTTTCCACTTGATCCAATACTTGTGATAAAAAGTACAAAAGTGCAAACAGACCCCGACCTCTAAAACATATCTAGCACTGCTGGACAGCCAATTCGACTTGTTTCATTGACAGAACTAACTGGACTGGTTCTGTTTTGCATAAAATTGAATCCATTCACTCTCTGGCTTCTAACTGATCATTGAATGTTTTAGTGTTTCCTCACTTTAGATTCAGGGCGGCTCCTAAAGAAAGTTTCTGAGTGGCACTGAAAACCTGTTCAAGGTAAACGGAGGAACACTGAAAACCTGGCAGGCTACTAAGAGGATCCTATTTTTCTGATTGCGTCAGAACCTACCTTACTAAAGGCAATGTGCTTCTGGGGAAGGAGCTGTCACCAAGATCTGATCAACCAGTTAGGATCAAACTTGGATTGACATGATAGTAATATCTTGCTAGAGTATATAATAAATTGTGGTGCTGATTTTCTCTTAACTATATTAAGTATTCTGAATAAACCCCCAAACATTTAATTAACTGATGCAGTGCAAAATTGATATATTAGACAGACAGACAGACAGATACATTTGATATATTGTAATACTGTAACAATGCAATCAGCGTTGTGGTGATTGATCAAATAGCTGAGAATTTTCAGAATTTCTTGATACTATTTAAAAATCTTTCATATTATTATTTTTACATATTATTATTTTAATATTATCATATTATTATTTTTCATATTATTATTTTTACAGGCATTTAGAAAAATCTGTTTATCAACATTGATGTCATAAAATTCCTACTTTGGAAATGCAAGATGTAATTAAGTGTAAGAAAAGGATTTTTTCCTTTTATTTGTTACCTTTTAGTGTAGTTTTGAGATATATCAGAACTGGCAAATGTCTCCTTTTTTTGGCTTGACAAAAATCATGAAATATTGACATCTTTCTATTTTTTACTTTGATCCTAATTTTATTTCACTATATAAGTCATTATCTGTCTGTCACATACAGACAAATTAGTCTGCTATTATCATTACTTTTTCGTAACATTGAATTGGAAGGATCAGTCATGTTCCACAAGTAGAATAAATCTCTTCAGACTTGCTTTTATTTAAGGAAAATGAAATAGGGTTTCTTTTTATCATGCTAAATTAGCTATTTGTTAGACCTAGATTATATTCAAGAGGAAGGTTTAATTTCATTTTCAATGTGCTTCACTTATTCCCACGATGGCAGTCTAGGCCATGCAGTAGAAAAAGAAATCAGTATATTTAAACATGACTGTATGGTTCAGTATAGTATAGTATAGTGTAGTGTAGTGTAGTGTAGTGTAGTGTAGTGTAGTATAGTGTAGTATAGTATAGTATAGTATAGTATAGTATAGTATAGTATAGTATAGTAT